ACATAGTATTTATAGGGCTGTTCCCTATTCAGTGGGATTTTAGCCGAGACTCTCGCCCTTATTTCGTGGGATTCTCCTTAATTATAGGAGAAGATCTTGGTTGGTTGAGATTAAGTGCCTTGATTATTGCTTCCTAACGCTTTTAGGAACTTCTCGTGATCTTCCAACTATTGCCTTGGTTGTTATTGCCCTTGCTTATCTCAAAGGGACCTCCAGCTCTACTTTTTCGAGTTCTATTCGTCTAGTTTGACCTCCTAGACTGAGCTGACCTCCTGAGCTGGCATTTGAAATTTATTTTGATGTATCATCACAAGTCAATATTTAAACAAAGTAGTAGCTAAGTTATTTCACTATCACTATTGATGATTAGGAATGTAGCCAAAAGTGAAACAACTCAACATTTTTTTTCATTTTTGTGGTTAGAAGAAGACTTCAAATTCAAGAAATGAACTGTATGGTTTCAAGTAACTTATATCTATCCATAAGATAGTGTCAAAATTGGTTTGCAACAGTGACGCTTGCCATAATTGACACTGTTATTGTGATATTTCAAATTTTGATTACTTTCTTATTTAACTTATAAACTACTTCAAACATTATTTTCTGCTCTATTTTAGCACAATCTATTTAGCGAAGAAACAGTAAAATTAAAAAAACTCAACAATGAGCATGCAAAACTTTATCTAAGGAACATGCTTTCGTAGATATTAAGGTTTTTTGGTTAAATTTACTGACAGGGTTACCTTCCGTACTTTATTAACAAGCTCGAATAGAACTACATGATCTTCTATAATTTAACCATTTTGTTCATTTAGAAAAAATCATTGTAATTCTATTATCTCATTTCATTTTAATTTTCGATTATACGAGTCGCCCATGCCTTTTAATTTATGTATATTATCTCATTGATAATGGTTAGGGTCAAACATGAACGCTTTTTGAATTGTCTAAATTTATGNTTTTAATTTTTGATTATACGAGTCACCCATGCCTTTTAATTTATGTATATTATCTCATTGATAATGGTTAGGGTCAAACATGAACGCTTTTTGAATTGTCTGAATTTATGTCATTTTATTAGATAAATGACGGTGAGAAACTCTTATTAGATTGTCTAGGAGTGATGGTACAACATTGAGGTGTCATAAGTGAGTCAATCCTTTAATTCCTTAGAAAATTTTCACATGGTAATATTTCATTCCTTGAAAATATTCTAAATGGCCCTTCAACTTATTAAGTACTTTAAACTTAAGGAGACATTGAATTTATAAATATGAAACTCATATGGGTCTACATGCTACTTCTGGATTGGATTGGGTAATCTTTATGGTGTGTTTTCTTTAGTACGAATATTCTAAATGTTGTCATAGTTGGTGTTATTCCATGATTCTACATAAACATCATTTCGTGCATATTAGACTTATGTGGAAAAGTCTTTTAAAAAAATAGAATGATTTGAAACATCAATGATATTCTTCGTTTGATTCTAAATCTCCAGTTTTGTTGTGAACTCTTGCTTTTAGGTTTCTAACGCTTGAGAATGACAAAAAACTTGTCTACAGTGTGATATTTATTTACATATTTTTTTTTATTTAGATCGGATTATTATAAATCCATATCAAAATTCTTCTAGACAAACTCTAATCGGATTTGGATTAATAGATTGAAAATCTAATTCATATCCGTTTAAACGGATTCGGACTCGAAAATTCGGGTTAAATCCAGTCTATTGACAGGCTTGAGAGGTGATGAGTACTTGGACCTCGGTGTCCAATAAATGGGCCTAAGCCCATCTGCTGCCTCAGTCCATATGGCCCAGCCACTTCTCTCGTTCACAATTTTTAGTAAAACCACGCGTTTTTAAAAATAGTATCCGAAAATAATTTTTAAGAAAAGTTTTAAGAAAGTGGTTTTGATATTTTTTGAAAAAAAAAATTTGTTTGGTTAGATGATTTCAAAAATAATTTTACAATACAAAAAATAGTAAAACCTGTTTGGACAGTCTAAATATATATTTGAACAGTAATTCAAATATTAATAAAAAAATATACATATTTATTTATAAATAAATAAATATATATAATTATATGTATATATATATATATATATATATATACACACATATATATATATTGTTCTCCTTATTTTTAAAATTTTTAAAGTAAACTTTGAAAATAAATTACACTTATTTTCTGTGTCTTTGTCTCAAATCTCATTTTTTTTTCAAAATTTAAAGAATTAAAAACTTAAACAAACGGATTTTGGGCCTTTTTAAAATTTTGTTTTGGAGATGATGACGAAGCCTGGCCCTCGTTTCCTCTTCCTTCTAAGGCTTTCTTGCCACGCTGGCGATCCGCACCCATTCCCTCCCAACCAATCAGAACACACTATTCTAAANATAGATCTTTCTTATGGGAAATGTTATACAACCTAATGTTCTGTTTGGTATGTTGGAAAAATAGAAAGATGAAAAGTTGGAAATATGAAAAATTGGAAGAATAAATAAAACATTATGTTTGATATGAAAAGGAAATAGGAAGGATAAAAAAGTGGATGAATTAACTTTTTTTTTTAATTCATTAAAATCAATCTTTTCAAAATTGAAAAAAAATGGATGAAAAGATAATTATTTGTGTTAAAATATATTTTATTTGTCTATATATATTTTAATATATACATATATTATGTATATATTAATTTCATATAAAAAAATGATAAAGTATGTATTTATATATATATTTTTAAAAAATTTTAAAAATAAATTTAACAATAAAAAAATAAAAATAAAAATTTTAAATTTTAAAAAATATTTTTTTCATCTTAGGTAAATGTGAAAAATATTTTACTAAACACGATAATACAGTTCGAACTCGATACGAACTTATTTAAATTTTTTATTCAATGTTTATTTGGGTCAATTCGACACGACATAATTAGTTAAGNCAATGGACACACAAGAAAGTCTGATTCTGTAACAAGCATCTTTCATGTGAATGAATTTGTGTTGCTCTGCTTTAACTTTTATTGTCTTCATGGGGCATTAAATTATTGGTTGCTTAACCTTTGGTGTTTGATTCATTTGATGTGAGATCAATGTTCTGGCTTAGAATGAGGGTTCTAAGAATGTGTAAATAATCTTTGGTTATGAAAATTGATTCTGCCGACCAATCTGTTTTTCTTTAAAAGGTACTTAGGGAAGAGGATTGTTTTCGGTTTATGTTGTATGGTGGTGTTTTGGGATTTTTGTAGTATGAGAATTTGGTTGTGGTTTTATTATATTTGTTCTCTAAACAGATGTCCTTCAGGTGAAACCTACACAATTCAGTTTACATGTTCTTCATATAGTTGTCCATCCTTTTCTATGGTTTTTCTATTGTTCGGTGTATTTGAAATTTCAATGTATAGCCCTGTGTGATTAAAAAGCAGATAGTCACAAATGGAATGTTAGTGCTAACTTTGCTTTCCTATTGAAACTGCGTGGGAAGGCTACTGATTTAGGGTTGGGACTATTTGATAATACTATGGCAGGAACTTCTTAAGCCACCAAATATTGGTGTTTGAAATTTTTTATCATATGGTTGCTCTTGGTATGCATAAGTAGATATAATGCATTTGTACTGTAATATATGCTAAGGTGTGGCTATTTCTGCGATTTTTTTAATTGTTATTTAGGTTTGGTGTATATTTACAAAATGGATTATCTTATGATACCATTTTTACATGATTTTCATATTTTAATTTTCATTGTTTTGCTCTTTGCTGTTCTAAAACCAACATACCCTGAATAGTTGATAAAATATCTAAAGCAATGTAGGTCATGAAACAACATCTGAAATAACAAGAGTAACGAATTGGTGCGAGGGTGTGAAGAAATTGATGGGAAAAGAGGATTAGGGAAGGAGATTTTTGAAATGGGAAATGTTATACAACCTAATGTTCTGTTTGGTATGTTAGAAAAATAGAAAGATGAAAAGTTGGAAATATGAAAAATTGGAAGAATAAATAAAATATTATGTTTGATATGAAAGGGAAATAGGAATGACAAAAAAGTGGATGAATTAACTTTTTTTTTTAATTCATTAAAATCAATCTTTTCAAAATCGAAAAAAAATGGATGAAAAGATAATTATTTGTGTTAAAATATATTTTATTTGTCTATATATATTTTAATATATACATATATTATGTATATATTAATTTCATATAAAAAAATGATAAAGTATGTATTTATATATATATTTTTAAAAAATTTTAAAAATAAATTTAACAATAAAAAAATAAAAATAAAAATTTTAAATTTTAAAAAATATTTTTTTCATCTTAGGTAAATGTGAAAATATTTTACTAAACACGATAATACAGTTCGAACTCGATACGAACTTATTTAAATTTTTTATTCAATGTTTATTTGGGTCAATTCGACACGACATAATTAGTTAAGTTAGATTTGACTAATGTTCGATACAAACTCGTAATGACTCAACACGAATTCGTGTTCGCTTGTCATCTCCCTTTCTCAATTTGGTTCAATGTGTTAATGACATTCGCATATGCACNATGAGTTAAGTTAGATTTAACTAATGTTCGACACAAACCCGTAATGACTCAACACGAATTCGTGTTCACTTGTCATCTCCCTTTCTCAATTTGGTTCAATGTGTTAATGACATTCGCATATGCACACACATTAAACTCTTCTTAATTGTTTCTATGTTTGCTCTCACTCAAAAAGGGCAAAAAAAAAAAAAAAACAAAACTTGCTAATTAAAAAAAATTAATACTATTGAGATTTAATTTATTATGATATTTGGATTGATTGTGAGATCCATCAAATATTAAAATTTGATATTAATGTCAATTAGATTAAATTTTTAGGTCAAAATAAGATTACTAATTTAAAAAACAGGAATACATAAAAAACTAAACTAATCTGATATAGCAAACATACAAGTTCGCGGTTTATAATATATTTAAAAATACTGTCCAAGTCTTAAAGAGTTGGGGATGTAGCTCAAATGGTACAGCGCTGGCTTTGTATGCGCGAGGCACAGGATTCGATCCCATGCATCTCCAATAATTTTGGTTCTGAGATAAGTCGGTGGTCATTCGTTCTCTTATCTTCATCGCTCCCGCTTTAACCTGTTAGAAATCAGAATTGCAGAAGGGTGGTGGTTCTTTTATCTTTTTTGGTCTAGGATTCTTTTCTACATTCAATGGCCGTGCCTCTTTTCAATCTGGCTCCCGATTTGGCTGTNAAAAAAAAACAAAACTTGCTAATTAAAAAAATTAATACTATTGAGATTTAATTTATTATGATATTTGGATTGATTGTGAGATCTATCAAATATTAAAATTTGGTATTAATGTCAATTAGATTAAATTTTTAGGTCAAAATAAGATTACTAATTTAAAAAACATGAATGCATAAAAAACTAAACTAATCTGATATAGCAAACATACAAGTTCGCGGTTTATAATATATTTAAAAATACTGTCCCAGTCTTAATGAGTTGGGGATGTAGCTCAAATGGTACAGCGCTGGCTTTGCATGCGCGAGGCACAGGATTCGATCCCATGCATCTCCAATAATTTTGGTTCTGAGATAAGTCGGTGGTCATTCGTTCTCCTATCTTCATCGCTCCCGCTTTAACCTGTTAGAAATCAGAATTGCAGAAGGGTGGTGGTTCTTTTATCTTTTTTGGTCTAGGGTTCTTTTCTACATTCAATGGCCGTGCCTCTTTTCAATCTGGCTCCCGATTTGGCTGTCTCAAGACTATGTCTAGGTTTCATATCTCTCTCCTCTTCTTTGTTCATTGTAGTAGATTTATGAATTCAAATTTCAATACATTCATGCCATTGCTTTTCACAGGAACCATGACTTTTGGCGAGCAGAACACGATGGTCCAGTCTTTTCAGCTTCTCGACAAAGCCTTCGATGCCGGAATTAACTTCTTCGATTCCGCTGAAATGTATACTTCCGTACTTCTATGCTTCCCATTCTTGACGTCTTTAATGGATTCTTTTTCCTCTTCTTGTACTTGATTTGTCGACCATCCGAAGAAATTGTCTTTGAATATAGGTATCCGGTGCCCCAGCGTGCAGAAACTCAAGGTAGGAGCGAGGAGTACTTAGGCTGTTGGATTAGACAGAGAAAGATCCCTCGGGACAGTGTAGTCTTTGCCACAAAGGTCAATACTTATGTGCAAACATTATTTTTTGTTTTTGTAAAATTGGACATTAAATGCCATGGCAATTCTTTGATTTTATTAGCAAGAGATGACTCAAGACTATGAAAGCTGGATGCTATGTGGATGTTTGGCATTTCTTTGAAGTTGTTCTGGTGTCCTAGATAAATTAGTGTCATATTTTTGTGTTTGTACAAAATTAGTGTCTTGGTCCTTGCAGTTTTGGTAATCTCATTGTACTACAAATTCATTAACACATGTTGGATTGGCTAATTAGTTTGGAGCAAGACTTGGCGTAGTTCAAGTGAACTTTGTTAGCAAATGTTTGTAGTGTCAGCTAGCCGCTAGGGTTGTCTGGTTACAGCTAAGGATTTTTATGGGAACATGAAATCCGTGCTTGTAATTGGAAGAAGACTCTTAGGTCATATTTTAGTTAAATTTTTGCCGATTTAAATTCCAAGGCATGAATTCCAAGTAAAAGAAGAGCTCTTTCTCCTGGATTCCTTTTCAATGTTGATCTTTATAAATTATCATGCATGCCTTTTTAAATAAATTTTCTTATGTTATTGTTAGCGGTTCGGGTGCAGGTTTGTGGGCCATCTGGACAGATGACTTGGATTCGGGATGGGCCAACAAGTTTGGATGCTAGGAATATAACCATAGCCATTGACAATAGGTTGAGTCCTTCTCATGTGTACTCCAATGTCGCCTTTTACACCCAATTGTTTTTTGCAGTCATTTTCAACTTAATTGTTGTGAGTTTCTTATCCTACAGATTTCTTAACGTAAATGCTTTAAATTTTTCTACTCTAATATCTATGTTGATGGCATCAATGTAAGACATGTTACACTATATGTTGCCTTGAAAGCATAAAGATTGGCTTCATCTAGTAATCAAAGTTATTGCTTCCCTAGTATGTTATGTATGTAGCTATACTATCTTTCCATAGATATGAAAGCAATTTTCCTGAGATGTATTAACTATTGAACTTTCATTTTACAGTTGCTAATTTGTTGTCTTCTCTAACAACATGGTGCAACGAACTGATGCAGTTTGTTGCGGCTCCAAACAGATTACATTGACCTGTATCAAATTCATTGGCCTGATCGGTTTGTATGTAGATCTTAATCTTACCCTTTTGTTTTTTGTTTTTTTGTTTTTTATATTCTATTGGCAACAAAAAACAGTCCGATAGAGTTATTCTTCCAAAACCATAGCAAACATATCTTGTGGCTGCCAACAATGCCACATTAAGTTTAGTAGTATTTTCTTCTCCATACTCCCCGATTATTCTTGTGTTACCTGGGTGTTCTTGCAGCTATGTTCCCATGTTTGGAGAAACTGAGTATGACCTGAACCGACAGTTCTGTTCTGTGAGTATTGAGGAACAACTTGATGCTCTAGGCAGAGCTGTTAATGCTGGTAAGGTCAGTGATACTACGCTCAGTTTTGTGTATCTAGCCAATCTTTTTGTAATATGACATTTCTCTGAGTAAAACAGATATTATTGCTTGCAGATCAGATACATTGGACTCAGTAACGAAACACCATATGGCATGATGAAGTTCCTACAGATTGCTGAAACTGCTCCTCTCTGTCCCAGGATAGTATCTGTGCAGGTTTGTATTGCTCAGGCTAAACACAACAAAAACCACCACCGCCATGACAAATAAACCCCTCTTTCTGTGCAATATATCATGAGGTTAATGCTATGCCATTATATATTGCAGAACTCATACAACTTGCTTTGCCGAAATTTTGATTCTGGGATGGCGGAGTGCTGTCATCACGAAAGGTAGTTTACACGTTTATATATATAATTTATCGACCAGCAATGGTACATGCAACTCATTATGCCCTTCTGAGAAACAGGCTCAAATTGTGCATGTTGTGTAACTTCAGAACAACAAAAAAGTTGCATGAGAAGTATGCTGTGCACATGATTGCTATATCGCCGAAGCTGGGTTTATTCCACACTTAATATTGTTAATTGAATTATCATTCTCAGGAAATCTATTTGTAATTGGAGTTTGAGAAATTCCATGGGACCTTAGCTTTGATTTTTTTTAACTTTTTGTTTTTGATGACATTGGAGAAAATTGAGAACAAAAAAGATCTTAGAGAACAAGTAAGACCATGCTCAGTGTTCAGAATGAATATGCGGTGAAATTAATGATGTCCGTACACCTTGCTTCAGACATGATGTTGATGTGCTTGCAGCTGCATATTGTGTTGTGCAGCAACAATAGTGAGGATCATATTTCTTAGCTCATTCACTATCTTTTAGTTAACATGCTGTGAAACTAAAATTCTATTTTTGCACCTTTAATGCTGGCCTTAAAAGATGTTATTTCTTTATTTGGTTGAGCTTTCTTGGGGCCTTTGGGCAACAGTTAACACACTCTATTCAAATAATTGTTTGCCCGTCTTTTTGACATGTCTTATCTCCTGTAATTTGGGATAAAGAGTTGTTCTTTGTTCGNCATTTCTTTATTTGGTTGAGCTTTCTTGGGGCCTTTGGGCAACAGTTAACACACTCTATTCAAATAATTGTTTGCCTGTCTTTTTGACATGTCTTATCTCCTGTAATTTGGGATAAAGAGTTGTTCTTTGTTCGCAGTGTTACCGCTGCAAGCGTAAATGTATACTTGATTGCATTTTTATCGGATTGTGTTAGTTTTGGAAAGATTTATGTGAGGAAGCATCCATAAGTTTTAAGTACCACAGTGCATAACTTTTTATACTTGTTCTTAAGTATGCATGGTGAAGTTTCCTTTTAATTCATGCAAGAGAAATAAGTACCAAGAGTGGGGAAAATGTAAACTTTTTTAATCAACTTGTTAAATTGGCGATCCTTGTCTGAATTGTTGGATTCAAGACTCTATAGTTTCACATTTTTGGATCTGGCATCTGGATTGATTGCAAGTGGCATTTGTTGCCAGATAACCTCTCCTGGCATGGTTTGTACCTAAGACCTTTCCAATATAACTCGTTCAACCACCTAAGCTAAGCTCCATGGGCATGAATTTTTTGTGAGGAAATCTGATATTGACCTATGAGGTGGCAAATAGTTTGACTGAAGACTAAGCAGTGGCACTTCTGAATGAAGTTTTATGTTGTTAAGGCAACTTCACTTTGCCGCAATATGAGTTTAACCTGAAATGCAAAAGTACATAATAAGTTACGCATGATTCATTTATTTAGGGATTTCTTTAGGGAGAGGATCTGTGCTGTTTTCCTCTTTATGCTTAGTGATGATCGTGTTGTCTTATCATTTGAACATTTTTAGGGTCAGCTTGTTGGCCTACAGTCCTCTGGCAATGGGCATACTTTCTGGAAAGTATTTCTCACCTGAAGGTGGTCCAGCTGATGCTCGTTTGAATCTTCTTAAAGGTTATATCACTGACTTGTTTAATTATTGCAACCTATGGGTGAATCTGTCTCACTTAGGCAGCCGTTTCAACCCGTCTGCAACAGGGAGGTATTCAGAAGGGGAGTCAAGATACAAGCTGTCCGACACCATCATTAAAGAAGCTACAAGGGTAAGCAATTTTCCCTCATGCAGAGAATGATAGCAATTTGTTGATCAACAATGAAAAAAAAATGTTGGCCGACAAAGTCAAAATATATGACAATGCTCCTTGCTTCTGTTGATTTTTTTAAATACCACAAATTGGGTCAATCCCATCTTTTTCTTAAACTTCTATAGAGGGAGGCATTAATCCTCTTTTTAGAAGAATAACAAATTGTTCTGGAATTTTGTAATCTCCATGTGTGTGTCAATCTGTTTGATGGATCACAGATTCAGAAATTCTGTTTAATGAGTCATACCTTGATTTAGGAGTGTTTTTGTTTAGGAATGCTTCGTGGTGCTAATTTCTTATCTACATCAAGCTATGGCCTTTTTATTGTGTCTTAAAAAGATCGGGTACTGCCTTGCATATTGATGCATGCTTACCTAATGTTTAGCAGGCATATCTTGGCATCGCAAGAAAATATAATGTTCATCCTGTATATCTTGCAATAGGTATGATATAGTCTCTCTCTCTCTCTCTCTCTCTCTCACACACACACACACACACACACACAAACACTCACTGACCTAACTGTGGATTGATTTATCCCTGGTGCCTTTGCAATAACATCTACGTGAATTTTGCTTTATTGGTGTTGTATGGTTTTATCAAATTATGGCAGAGTATGTCTGNCACAAACACAAACACTCACTGACCTAACTGTGGATTGATTTATCCCTGGTGCTTTTGCAATAACATCTACCTGAATTTTGCTTTATTGGTGTTGTATGGTTTTATCAAATTATGGCAGAGTATGTCTGTAAACTGGTTGGATCTGGATCAGAACAAGGAGATCTAGATCTAATCTGATGAGAATAATGGGAGTCCGGTGGAAAGAATGATAGATTTCTTTAGGTAGAACTGCTTTCTATTGCTTGATTAGATCTTCACATGGATTTCTTTTTAAAATGTTGGATTTTGACGTCCTCTGTGGAGAATATGCTCCGTCTGTTGTTGATGGTTGATTAAATTCGCATGTCTTCATTATTTCTTTTCTATATATTTTACTGTCCTCTTATGCTCTGATCCTTGGGACAGCCTTCGTATTAAGACACCCTCTTGTCGCCAGTGCAATTTGTGGAGCGACGAAGTTATGGCAGCTTCAAGAGATTCTTGATGCATGCGAGGTAAAGTTCAGTCCCGATATGAAGGCAGATATTGACGAGGTTCATTCAAGGTTTACAAATCCGTGCCCCTGATCAGCCTCATTTTCTGTGGCCCCTCTCTCATTCACGGCTTAGACAAATATTCATGACATCAAGGTTGGTTTTGGGAAGGACTTGATGAGAGTCTAAATGGATTTGGTGATTGCCAGTGCGGACAAACTCATCAATAATTTGATCAAAGTATCTGCAGAGCATGTCTTTAACACCAGCCTTGGTGCTGACGGGCTTGGCGGCTGGGCATGGATACGGAAATGTTTGAAGTTTGCCCTGAACGAAATGACTGAATCTTTGGTTAATTCTCTTTGGGTTATAGTGTGCAGTCACTTTGGCTGTACGATAATACCACTTAATGTTTAAAATTGAATACTTTAAGTATTTAATGAATTAAATTCGGTTGATAACTTAAAACTTATATTATTTAATATTTTAATATAAAACACAGAGTAAATACTTTTGATAAGGGGGAAAAAAAGGGTAAATTGTAATATTTTTGATAGGTTGAGGGTATAATATGAGAATTTTAATTGTTGAGGATGCAAAATAGAAATTTTAAAATTTTTTAGGGTAAAAAGTGTAAAAAAATCCTTAGTTTTTTAGCTACCTTAGAGCATTTCTAATAAGGTTTTGTATTTTAAGTATATTTTTTTATTTTAGTTACTTTTTTAGTACATACTCTAATAGATTTTTTTATAATTTAATTATTACTTTTAAATATTATTTCTCATATTTTATACTTTTATTGGAACTATGAAATTGAGAGCGAGAAATGGAAGAAAAGATAAAAAGCGGACAAGAGGTTCGAAACGACAAGAGAAAAGGAAATATATTATAAATTATTTATATATATTGCTAAAGTGGTNTCAGTGTAAATACTTTTGATAAGGGGGAAAAAAGGCTAAAAAAAAGGGTAAATTGTAATATTTTTGATACGTTGAGGGTATAATATGAGAATTTTAATTGTTGAGGATGCAAAATAGAAATTTTAAAATTTTTTAGGGTAAAAAGTGTAAAAAAATCCTTAGTTTTTTAGCTACCTTAGAGCATTTCTAATAAGGTTTTGTATTTTAAGTATATTTTTTTATTTTAGTTACTTTTTTTGTACATACTCTAATAGATTTTTTATAATTTAATTATTACTTTTAAATATTATTTCTCATATTTTATACTTTTATTGGAACTATGAAATTGAGAGAGAGAAATGGAAGAAAAGATAAAAAGCGGACAAGAGGTTCGAAACGACAAGAGAAAAGGAAATATATTATAAATTATTTATATATATTGCTAAAGTGGTAATCTAAATATAGAGTATCACTTTAGCAAAAATGTATGTTACTTTGCCTTTGGGTAGTTAAATTTTAGCTATTTCGGAATTTCATATATTCTGCTAGAGATGCTCTTGTGGGATTGTTTTGTAAGTGGTTCTCTAGAGCTTGATAAGATGAGTTTAGAGAAAATAGGCTAATAGACCCCCAAAACCTTTGTTTGGATGTCTTTTTCAAGTTGTGGATAGTAGTTCCGGCCCGTAATTGGCTAACACTTTAAACCTTTGAATGTGAGTTTCATCAAACCCATATTTTTTTTTTTTTTGGGGGGGGGGGGGTGGTTTCAGTCAAGTCATACCCGAATTAGTGAGGCAAATGTCATTTGTACTGCTGAGTTAAACAANATCTAAATATAGAGTATCACTTTATCAAAAATGTATGTTACTTTGCCTTTGAGTAGTTAAATTTTAGCTATTTTGGAATTTTATATATTCTGCTAGAGATGCTCTTGTGGGATTGTTTAGTAAGTGGTTCTCTAGAGCTTGACAAGATGAGTTTAGAGAAAATAGGCTAATAGACCCCCAAAACCTTTGTTTGGATGTCTTTTTCAAGTTGTGGATAGTAGTTCCGGCCTGTAATTGGCTAACACTTTAAACCTTTGAATGTGAGTTTCATCAAACCCATATTTTTTTTTTTTGGGGGGGGGTGGGTGGTTTCAGTCAAGTCATACCCGAATTAGTGAGACAAATGTCATTTGTACCGCTGAGTTAAACAAACATGAGTATGAATTGGATTAATTAATGAGTAATATAGTTATTTATAAGACAAATATATTATGATAATAGTGATACATCTGTGAGTCTCACATCTATATAAGTTACATACCAAACAATTGTATGGATTGCATTCATCAATAAATTTCATGGAAACAAAAGTGGAGGTTGGGTTTAGAAAGATTTGGGGAAACCAATTCAATCCTTCCCCCAAAAATCATCCAAGCAAGCCATAAATGAAGCCACAAACGAAGTGTGAATGTCCTATACCTTCTCATTCTCATAATATATTGGGTGCTTACAGGACACACAAGTTCATTTTTTCCCAAAAAAAAAAAAAAAAAAAAAAAAATTATCTACTAACAAGGTAGTAGCCATTCATTGAGAATCTATAATTTTTTCTTGGTACTACGCTACGATTTTTGTTTCGTTGTTTTCTTTTATTGACCTCCAATTTTGCTTTGGTGCTTGGTTGATCTATCTTTGGTTTTTTATGAATTACGTTAGTGTTGTTTGCTTGATTATATTTTTGAGTGCTTATATTTGGTATCTTTGACAATATGAACCTCCAAAGTCATGACCAACGTACTCTCAACTGTCCAACATACTTTCAAGAGCTGCAACATAACCCTCCCTCCTGAACTAGACGCCGACATACTCTCAAGGATTCAAAAACAATCTGCAACTTCAGCTGCCTGTCCAAAGAATGGCGCAACTTGATCCCCTCATCGTGTTTTAAGAAGCTTCATCGCAGCAATCGCTCCAAGCGTAACAACCCCCTATTACTCCTCTTGTCTGCAGGCAGTGATCCATCTTTGTACCTTAATGTCGTGGACATGAATGGAAGGCTGCTTGAAGAAAACCCTATTCAAACCTCCATACCATTGGGCAAAATTGGAATATATGACTCTAGCCTATACACTCCAACAAAGAATCATGGTGAGGTAGGAAAGCAAAAGAGGATTAGGGAAAACAGGGAAAGGCGTACCAAAATTCTAGAAACCCTCGAAGATAGCCAAAGAAGAAGAAGGAGAACTCTTATATGTACTTGGCTTACAATGGCTCTTTGGCAGTTGTGTGCACATAGAAAATGATTCCACTCCTATGTAACGGACAAGTGTAATTAATGCATAGAATGTGCCTTCCACTAGTCTGAGCTAGGGGACAATTGATGGAGATAGAATTAGTCCTAAAGGGAGCACGTGAGTGGCCATGGCACGTGATAGAGATAGCCACGAGACGAGCATTTGAGTCACGCGACAATGAAGAATANCAAGGGAGCACGTGAGTGGCCAGGGCACGTGATAGAGATAGCCACGAGACGAGCATTTGAGTCACGTGACAATGAAGAATACGGTCCTCTTATCATCTGTCATGTTGCATATTGTCGGATGGGGAATGTAATTCTGCNAAAGGGAGCACGTGAGTGGCCATGGCACGTGATAGAGATAGCCACGAGACGAGCATTTGAGTCACGCGACAATGAAGAATACGGTCCTCTTGTCATCTGTCATGTGGCATATTGTCGGATGGGGAATGTAATTCTGCTTCTTGGAGTAGAATACCAAATTTCTCGTGTTCTGGCTTCGTTTTTGAATGCAGCAGATGTGCTAATGGAGTTTTGTATTGGGCGCTCGAAGAACAATATGCCTGGCACAGCATTCTCTCGTTTGATTTGGAGAAAGAAAATTTGGAATCATGTATCATTCCCAGTGGGATTCCTACCTACAGTGTTATTTAGAAAACTTCAAAGGTTATTTATGTTTACTCGCGATGAAGTCTGCTCCAAGTTCAAAAGAAAATTCGGGGAGGGTAGAGTTCGGCAAAGGGTTTGGAGGACCAACTCTTTTAGTGGCGTCTGTAACCTTACTACGCTACCCAATCAGCGGATAAAAAGTCGAACTCTGCAGGGCTGTTTTAGTGAACCCTGAGAGTTGTCGGCAGCTCGATGATGTGTATTCCAATAATTAAACTGTTCTATAGACTTTAGTGTTTGAATCATCGTATTGTTTAGTTTGACATTATCTTATTTTTATAAAAGGAAGCATTCGTTTTTGATAATGTTGGTGGCTCAGTAGAAGTCATCCAAACTTAATGGACACTCATACTTATATTTGTATTTTTCTTGGGAGGAAACGTCCTTAGTAAATTATAGGAAAAATTATATCGTGATCCCTTCAACTGGACCTCCTATCTCACATTGCTTTCTCAATTCTCAACTACTGTGTTCATTACATTGTACCGTTTTATTATATTCTATTCAATAGTTAAAAATCATCAAAACCAAGATTTACCATTGTGATCAGTTTTTGCACGGTACCAACACTAGTACCGTAGCCTTATTCCATCCTTGTTGGTATTAAATCTGCCTCAATAATAATACAACTAGACTGCTTAAATTGTACTTCTAAATACGTATACGATCTCATCTTATGTACACTACAAGACAAGAGTAAAACTATGTTTTTCAAATTTATTTATTAAATATTGTATTTTAAATGATGTGTCAAAATCTTATACATTAAATATTTAGTAGAGTTAGTAGATCTCATTGATCCAAAATTTGGTAAATAATTGGGTAAAACATAGCATTGTCTTACGATAATAATAATGATTTGGTATGCATAGCATTGATTTGGTAAGGATTTTTGTGATGGTAAAGTGTTGTGGTGGCATAATAAATGGAGATTCAAAAAAATATTTATGACGATAACGACCTGTCTCAGATTGTATTTGGGGTAGTAGAATTTTTTTTTGTGATAAGAACACAGTCATCACAGAAAACTTGTTACAAAAAATTCAAATTCTTGTGATGATTTAAACTGCGCGAGTGAGCTGGGCTACATAAAGGTTGGGGCCCTTCCTTACATCTTTCCTAAAAGTCACGCACAACCAGAATAGAAAACCTAAAGCAGTAGAGTTTGGAAGGCAGACTACTACTGCAAATTGGAAACCTTATAAATATCAACCACTACTACTTAGATTTTCTCACAATCAAAGTACTACCAAAACCCAAGACAGATTGAAGCTTTCGCCCAACCCCACGAAGAAAACACAGAGGACAATCCATGGACAAACTCAACATCAAGAGCTGCAACAATACCCTCCCTCCGGAACTACATTCCAACATTCTCTCAAAACTCCCTGCAAAAATAGTCTGCAAATTCTGCGTGTCCAAAGAATGGCTCAACTTGATCTCCTCCTCATATTTTAAGAAGCTTCACCGCCATCGCTCCATGGTTAACCCTCTCTTACTCCCCATAGAGTTGTCACGTCCCAAAAGTTGTCCATGGACTATGCACCTTAACGCCATGGACATGAATGGAGGGCTGCTCGAAGAAAACACTATACCAACATGTTCATACGTGATGAACACGTTTATTTCTTGCTTTGAGTTGATATGTTTTGGCAACTCGAATCAAATATTTGTTTCGTAATCCTGGAACCCGGGAGATTCTGGAACTGCAGGCACCTCCCTATCGGGTTGACGGTTATTATTGGCGTGAAATTGGTTTTGGGTATCTTCCTTCCAAGAATATATATAAAATCGTCGATATGACCACTATGATTTTAGAGGACCACGAAGGAGAAGATCAATTTATTATTAGTCAGGTATATACATTATCGGATGGTGATTGCAATTCTTCTTCTTGGAGAAGGTTACAAGATTACTCGTTTTCTGGCTATGCTTATGGAAGCAGCAGATGTGCTAATGGAGTTCTGTACTGCATGATCTGTGTAGGAGTTACCCAAGGAATTCTGTGGTTTGATTTAGAGACAGAAACATATGGAACGATAAATCATGTTCCGTGGGATTCAAACACTTTGGGTTATCTGGTAACTTTGAAAGGATATTTATGTTTATTTACGAATGATTCTAGTAATGATCAAAGTTTAACCATGAATATGTGGATGTTGAAGGAACCCAACAATGCAGTTTTTGAGAAATATATTAGTATTGGCTTGTCCTCAATGTACAGTGATCTTTGTCCTTTGGTTGAGAGGGATGGAGAGATCATATTCTCATGTGATGATGGATCATGTCTTGTCTCCTATGAAATTAAGGCCAAAAGCTTCAGAAGATTGAGCTATGTCACAATCCTAAGAAAATTATATTCTCCATGTTCAAGACTTTGTTTTGATGGACTTCTTTTCCCTTGGAGCAAGATAGTTTTTCAACCGGTTTTAGTATCCAAAAAGAAAATATGCCATATGAGTGTTTGTTATTTCAATATTTCATATTATTATTCTCCAGTGTTTCAGTTATAGTAACACTTGTTTGCCCAAATGGTCGACCTTGCCATCAAGTTGAGTCACTCAATCCGCGACAGACAGCACTCCACTTTTATCATCAAGCTTGGACGGGGTGCAAGAAGAGAATTAGTAGAAATTGAAAGGGATTTCCCAAAACTCCTCTCTTGTTTAGCAAGTTGTTAATGGATTTGCGCTAAAATCTATGATTTCTTCCTCTTTAAATTCAAGTAATATTGGTGTTGCATGTTGACTGATTTTTGGTGGCTTTTAAATTGCTTTTTAACTCAAACCTATGTGCCTATCGACCTGCTGTATATCCTCTTTTTGATTAAATGAATGTCACGTGACAATTCTCTTTGACTAACTTATTCTTTAGATAGATGTCGTTCATTACATATTCACTAAAATTGTAGAATATAGTTCAAACAATTTTATTATATAGATATAATAAAGCCGGATTGAATTATTATTAGATGATATTATGGTATATCCAAATTTGAGTTCAATTTGAACTATTTAATTGAATTTGGATTAGATTTCAATTAAAATTTTGATACAAATGTGCCTAAATGAATTCGAATTCGAATTCGGGCCATAATTTGATCGTTGACAGGCCTAGTTGAACTACCTGCGCAGGTTTACATTGCACATGACCGTGTACTTGGGAGGTTATTGTTCATATAATACAATTTTTTGTTTTTTTTGAACTGTCATATACAATTGACTACGGTAAAGTTGTATATTTTTTACCAATTAGATATACTTATGTGTCAAATATCAATGACACCAGTGAATAAGATTAAGAGAAATAAATTAGTTCAAGTTTAGTTATTGATAACTTTTACTTCTCTCGTGGTAGTAATGTTCTGTCTGGTACGATAGAAAAATAAAAAGATAGAAAATTAGATAATTAGATAAAATATCATGTTTGATAAAAAAGTAAAATAGGAAGGATAAAAAAATTGATAGATGAGTTTTTCTTTCAACTTATCAAAATTAATTCCTTTAAAATTAAAAAGAAAGTGGAAAAAAAATTAATTATTTATGTTAAAATATATCATTTGTCTATATATCTTTTGATGTATACATATTGATAAATTTCGCGTGATGTAAATATAACACAAAAGATAAGGCCAAAATTACAATTGTTTATGATTTGACTTAATTTAATAAAGTGATGTTGACTCTCTTTAGTGCACTTCTCTCGTGTACTATCCTTTGATTCTTGGTGGATTTGATGATGACAAATGCCAGATTAACGTGTTTCTCGATCTTTGATTTAGTGTTGACTTTGGTGAATTTGATGAAGACAAGGGCTTGACTAGTGTTCTTCTTAATCTTCAATTTGGTGGATTTGTTGAAGACAAGGGTCGAATTGACATGAATCTCGTTGTTTGATCTTTGACTTGACTTTGTTGAATCTTCTGACCGTTTTTTATGTTGAATGGTTTAAAAATGAATTGAATCTCTTGAAAAAGGACCTTGGCGGTATTTTTTCTCCTTAGAGATGGATTTACAATACCTCAATTGAGGGTAGAGCTTCGCCCCCTCTTCTCCTTAGATGGACTTGGACAGAGTTTTCTTAATCTTTCTTCCTCTTCCTTGACTTCTCTTACTTTTCTTTCTTGGCCTCTTTTTTTAACCTACTTCAAGCCTTTATTTATAGTAGTAAAAATAGTTATTCAAGGGTATTTTACTTGAATACCCTCATGTGGGCTATCCATACCGTAGTGGGTTACTCATAAAATTGTGAGTTTTAGTTAATTTATGAAATTTAAATTCAACTCTATTTAACTTTTAAAAGTTTTTTAAATTTGGGCATATGAAATTGAAATCCATTTTAATTTAATTTAACAAGTCTAATTAATTACATTTGGGCTTGTATTATTTAGGCCGTAAAATTTGGGTCTAACTCAAGCTTTTTTAATTAAATTTAGATTTGTATCATTTGAGCTTATAAAATTTAGGTTAAACCCAATTTTATTTATCTAATTGATTTGAACTCAACTAAACATTAATTAATTAATTTTTTAATGTCGATAACATGTATAGATTAATTTTATATATAAATACAATAATAAAATATGTATTTATACTTTTTAAAAAAATTTAAAAATTTAAATTAAAAAATATTTTTTCCATCTTACCAAGTACCAAAAAAAAAAAAATTATCATTTTTATTTTTCATCTATCCTATCAAACACAAAAGAAGAAAAATGTATCATTCTTATTTTTTTTTCTTAGAGAATAGAAAGTATATCCCTCTTAATTTCTATTCTTCCTATTTTCTATCATCCTTACCAAACGCAGCATAGGTATTAACTCATAATCGGTGGCACATAGAACTGATAATTAAGTAGAGTTATTCGGGTTCCGTTCGGATAGAACTCGACTCAAGCCTAAAAATAAAAAAAATTTAAACTTGTTTGAAAAACGAGCCTAAAAAGTTTATTTCGACTTCACAAAATTTAATTCGTTTATATATAAAATAATAAAGCTATTAGGGCCCGATTCGTTTTGTAGGTTCATTTAAAAAAAGGAGCCCAATTGAGTTTGGATAATTTTTTAGACTTATTAGAAAAACGAGCTTGTAACGCTCGACTCAATTGTTAGTCCCGGTGACATTGGCATAAAACCTCTATCTGAAAAAAATATTCACCGCAGTGATAACATGTAAACAAATAGAAAAATGGACCATTTATGTGATTTTATTTTTTGGGAAAATTATACTCAGACCTCCTAATATTTAAAATATTATACATAGACCCCTAAAGTTTGTACACACGTAACACTTAGACTCATGCCTTCAATGTCTAGTAAATTATGTCCAGACCCCCAGAAGTTTGTAAACGTATAATAGTTTGACCTCTAAAGTTCAAAATGTTATACTTAAATTAAAAATATTCAAATCAAAGATAAAATATCAAATATTTTAAATTTTACAACCAAAATTTATGTTATATTATGACAGTTATTGAAATAAAATTAAAATTAAAATTTATTTTTTTCTTAAAAAATTATTATTAATATACAATTATACTATCTATTGGAATAAAAATAAAAAATCAAATAAAAGGTCTAATTCATTCAAAATAAAACATGAATTTTACAACTAAAATTTATATTCTATTACATTATTTATTTAAATAAAATCAAAAATCAAAAATCCATTTTTTTCTTAAAAAATTATAATTAGTATACAATCATTATTTTGTGTCAATTATAGTTTGATACATTTTTTGATTTTTTAGCTTTATTTTAATAGATAATAAAATTATATACTAATTATGATTTTTTAAGAAAAATTAAATTTTTAAATTTTATTTTATTTTATTTTAATAAATGATATAATAGAACATAAATTTTAGTTGTAAAATTTAAAATATTTTATATTTGATTAGAGTATTTTTTATCTAAGTATAATATTTTAAATTTGAGTGATTTAAGTATCATATGCCTACAAATTTCAGAAATTCTGAGTGTATTACTAACAGATATACTAACATACGTTTGACGGCGCGAGTCTACTTGTTACTCACATATAAACTTTAGAGGGTCTGTATATAATATTTTAAATATTAAGAGATCTAAGTGATTAAGTGATAAATCTTAGGGGTTTAAATATAATTCTCTCTAATATTTTTTTTTTTTTTTTGATACCCCGATTGCTAATTGCGTTGCACTCTGCTGGCCTCTTCTTGACAAGTCGGACGCACGACTGCCCTTTTTTCTCACAGTTGTAATGGGAGGCAAGTTGCGTTGCTCATTCATCTCCACTCTCAGAACCTCTCTCCTCTCTTCCCTCTCACTTCGTTCTATATCGACCTCCACTACCCACATCTCCACCTCCCACCAAGCCTCCATAACCCCAACCCCATCATCACAGACCCCCCAAAACCTTAACCCTAACCCTAGAACCAAAACCCCACTCGAGAAACAATTCGAAACATGGATCCAAAATCTCAAACCCGGGTTCAACCCATCGGACGTCGATAAAGCCTTGCGTGCCCAATCGGACCCTGATCTCGCCCTCGACATCTTCCGTTGGACTGCCCAACAACGCAACTACAAGCACGACCACGTCACTTACCTCACCATGATCCAAATTGCCATCTCCGGTAAGCGTTACCGTGTCGCCGAAACCCTAGTCGAGGAAGTCCTCGCCGGTGCTTGCCCGGCCAGCCTTTCTCTTTACAATTCCATGATTAAATTTTGCTGTGGCCGAAAATTTCTATTTAATCGAGCATTCGATGTTTATAAGAAAATGCTGAAATCTGATGCGAAGCCTTCATTAGAAACCTACACATTGTTGTTGAGCTCACTTCTCAGGAAATTCAATAAGTTGAATGTTTCTTATGTGTATTTACATGGGGTAAAGTCGCTGAATAAGCAAATGAAGGCTCTGGGGATTATACCTGATACATTTGCGTTGAATATGATAATTAAGGCTTATTCTACTTGTCTTGAAGTTGATGAGGCGATTCGGGTTTTTCGCGAAATGGGTTTGTATGGATGTGAGCCGAATGCATATACCTATAGCTATATAACAAAGGGTTTGTGTGAGAAGGGGAGGGTGAATCAAGGTTTGGGGCTTTATAAGGAGATGAGGGAGAAGGGGTTGGTGCCGAAATGGAATACTTATATGATTTTGATCTGTAGTCTTGCTATGGAACGAAGATTTGATGATGCTGTTGATGTTGTGTTTGATGTGTTGGGCAATTCTATGACACCTGATTTGCTAACTTATAGAACACTACTAGAAGGTTTTTGTCGGGATGGTAGGGGGAATGATGCTTTTGAGGTCCTGGAAGAATTGAGGAGGAGGGATTGTATGATGAATGAGAAGACTTATAAGACACTGTTGGATGGATTGCACTTTTTGAATCGGGAGTAGATGTCATACATTGGTTTACTCAATCTCACTGTTAGAACTTGGGATGTCTATCATTGGATTGTAGTGTCAATTAAACTTGAGAGGTTGGAGTGAAACAAGGAAATTAACTCTATTAAATCGGAATGGAAATTTTACCCTCTGGCAGACTGTTTAGTTCCATTGTAAGCAACTGTTGGAAGAAAGTTCCTGGTTCAGCTGATTTATCTGGAATTATAAACCAAAGAAAATTTTGAGTTTATCAGACAATATTTTACTGCGAGCATTGATGGAAGATTCTTAATACTTTACCAGAAGTATTGGTGGACGATTTTTTGGGCTGTGTCATTTTGATTTATATTTGCTAGGAGGAGTTGACTTAAGTGGCATGATTACAAAATTTTTGTCAAGATATGTTTGAATTGCTGGCTCTGTTTTACCACAGATGTGAAACTGTATGTGAGAATTGACAAAGGTAGTGAATTTTCCTTGCAATGTAAATGGTTTTAATGGAATCATTTTTCATGGTTGATCCTTGAGTTCATCTTTTCAGCTACAATGGCAGGCTTTCTGGTTATCAGCTTCCGAAGTCGTGGAGAATGCAGAGTGTATTTGTTGAGCTACAAGGGAAAGGCTGATAAAGCATAATGTTTACCGTGGAAAAAAACACACATGGTTGTTATATCCTTTGTGGATGACATAACATTATTTTGCAATTCTTGTTCGATACAACCAGGTGGCGTAGTTTTACTATACACCGGTTAATCTCCTCCAATTCATTTATTGGAAGCAAGAGTGATTTGGTTGGTTCATTTGTTCAGCATCAGGATTTGGTTCATGTTGACATTATTACTGTTGCATGAATGTGTGCCTGCAAATTCTTATTCCATCTAATGTCTGGATGGGACAATAATGAAAATGTGCAACTTTCCAAGAAATTACTTGTTACGTGTATCTTAATATCTTTGTGAATTAATTATTGTTGTAGATATTTGTAAGGCCTTTTTGGTTGAATTTCATTTTGCTAAGGATTCATTGTCGTTTACTCTCTTGTATTAGTTTAATGTGTATCTTGAGAGGCATTGGTTTAAATAGTGGAATCTATGGTCTTCACCGTTGGCTTTTATATCTATGGCTTCTAGTCACGGGCACCCTTTGAGCCCGGCATTTACATCTCTACTTTTATTGCGTTGCAATGTCGTAATTGGTTGTTATGGACGCGAGTACATGGAATATGGCTCTGATCCCCTTCTCTGTTTATCAATACTCATTTCAGAAAAAAAAACACAAAGAAATCAGACGCAAAGAGATCCGTGTGAAGGTGTATGCCTCTCATTGCAATTCCATTTTCACAATTATCTGTGTTTTAGGTTATAGTTACGTTTGATTTCTATATTTTACTGCTAAATTCTTGAACTTCACTTCGATTTCAAGGAGGAGAAGTATTCCATAAGCAACATCGCATTGAAAATAACAGACAGGCCACCATAAAATGCATTTAAAACAGCAGCCTTTCGTGTTTCAAAACTTGCTGTTTTACCACGTTTGAGAGTAGGGATATTAATCGAATCGAATTTTGTGAGTTTGAGTCTTAACTTGACGAACTTGTTTTTCTAAATTAACCTAAAAAATTGTTTAAGCTCCGCTCATTTAGAACTAGAGCCAAACTCAAGCCTGGGCTGAACCCAAGCTAAATCCGAGTAACTTAACTATTTTACATATAAACCAACCAAATTAAAAAAACAAGTTTAAAAAATTGTTTAAACTCAGCTCTAGAACACGAGTCGAGTTCGAGTTTTATCTGAGTTGAACTCGAGTAGCTCATCTCGATTAACACTCCAATCTGAGAGCTCGGCAAAGTACTGGATCTAAACCCAAAATTGGAACCAATGCACTAGGANCTCTAGAACACGAGTCGAGTTCGAGTTTTATCTAAGTTGAACTCGAGTAGCTTATCTCGATTAACACCCCAATCTGAGAGCTCGGCAAAGTACTGGATCTAAACCCAAAATTGGAACCAATGCACTAGGAATGTACACTGAAGAATACCAACAAAAGAAAGTCCGAGGAAAAAATACACATGCTCCAATTTTTGTCCAAGTGTACTAAATTGTCAAAAGCTGAAAAATTACAACATGAGGCGCCCGTGGCTTCACACCGGCGTGGAAGCCTAGCCCATCTGTTGGACNCACATGCTCCAATTTTTGTCCAAGTGTACTAAATTGTCAAAAGTTGAAAAATTAGTGTGCAAAAGTCAAACAATAATCAACGGATTGTAGTTAACCAAAAACCCTTACCTTCAAGGTGGACACACTCACTGAAATTCACCGAGGCTGCAACATGAGGCGCCCGTGGCTTCACACCGGCGTGGAAGCCTAGCCCATCTGTTGGACTTAAGGTCAATAATGTTCCTCCAAATTTCCCTTTCCAATTTCTTCTCCTTGGCCATTCACAAGCACAACATACATACTGCCCTGGCTCACATTGTATAGGAGTAATATCAACCAACTCTGTATGCTCAGACGCCGAGTGCTCAGTGGCATCGGTCTTCGAAGTGCTTTCCCCAATTCCACTTTGTCGAGTCCCTCTTGTAGCCAAAGGGAAGCAAATGTCCTCAACAGGACTCTCAGATGAGTCCTAGAGTGGACCAATTACTGGGCCACCTTGTTGGTGAGGGGTGTTCCCAACTTCAGATGGTGCACAAACATTCTTAGCAGCATGGGCAAGCCTCGCTTTGTGGTTGTTCAGCCTGTAAAAAGCAAGGAGTGGAAAGGATAACAAAAGATTATAAATCCATCACNATAGAGTGGACCAATTACTGGGCCACCTTGTTGGTGAGGGTTGTTCCCAACTTCAGATGGTGCACAAACATTCTTAGCAGCATGGGCAAGCCTCGCTTTGTGGTTTTTCAGCCTGTAAAAAGCAAGGAGTGGAAAGGATAACAAAAGATTATAAATCCATCACAAAAGAAACCTGTGAAACATGAGTCGGTTCTAGGTTACAGTTGTTTTTTTCTATTTGTGGCATGCAATTGTTTACATTTTGAATATAAATAGAATGAAAGAAATAATACAAATAGCATCATTAAGCTGAAAAGGCATCCCAACTTTGTGTAGAATTCATGGCTCCCACAGAGATTACATCTTGTCACTAGAATGCTTTTTGTTATGTCTAGTTTTAAGCAGTTTTTCCTCAAGGACACTAAAAGGAGAAAAGAAGAATACTGGGAAAGCATTTCCCTTGAAGTGCAAAAAATACTTTCTAAGGGACCAAGGATGATTTCTTCCAAATTCAAACCTATCATCATCATATTCAGTTTACAAGGGAAGACCAACAACCTAACTCAACATGGTTTAGAAGCAAGTTTCAATAATAATGATGTTCAAATGCTTCCATGATATTAGGGAAAACTGTTACCAAGTATAAGATTGTGGGCTTACGATGTTTGACGAAGACAAGCTCTGATATGTCAATCACGCAACACACCAAATTTGGCTTGCAAAGTCAAATGTGTCAAACTGCCAGAGGTGTAAACCTAGACATAAGAATGTAACTCAACCACTTCACACCTATTATAAACCAAGAAAGCCCTTGAACTAATGTCTTCAACCTAGTAGTAGTGATCCTGTACTTCACCCTCTCCCCCCCCCCCCAAAAAAAAAAAAAACAAAAAAAAAAAAAAAAAAAAAA